TAATTGAGCCATAATTGCGACATGGATGATCTTCGTCGTGGATTGGAAAGCAGGTTCGAATCCCGTCAAAGGGCACATTTTCTTAATTTAAAGACTTCCTAAAACTCAGACCACAGACCGGTAAGCGACAATTATTAAATCCTTAAAAAAAAAAAAGAAAAAAAAGAGAGATATCGACTTAAACACGTGTATCTATTAAATATAACGTTTATATATACATATATATATATATATATATATATATATATATATATATATAGATAGATAGATAGATAGATAGATAGATCGATCGATCGATCGATCGATCGATGTATGTATTTATATATATAAGTTTAAAAATCAGGAGGTCAATTAAAATACGTGACCACAGTCTCGACCTGGCGGTCTCGTTAATTTCAAAATAACCACCAGGTCGAAACCGTGGTCACGTATTTTAGTTGACCTTTTGAATCTTAAACTTAAAAGCTCTATATGTTATTCTTACTTATTTATTTATTTATTTATTTCTCACGTGTATTGAACACTTCTTCTAATACTACTGTTGCCTGGTCTGATTCAACTCTCAACATTAACCTTTATATACATACATATATATATATATATATATATATATATATATATATATATATATATATATATATATATTTGTATATAAATTTAAAAATTTTGATAACGATATTTTTACTTTTGTTTGTAAATACAGACTGCAAGATAATAACCTTGCATTTTCACCTTGATAAAGTTCATCAGTTGACGAAACGCATTGATAAAAAAGTTTCCTTTTTTCTTTATACGAAAAAGATGACACGTTCTTTTTTCGTCTCAATTCCTATAATGTTATTTTTATGTTGTTTTGTATTTAGAAATCCTTAGTTTATGACTTAGATTATTGGATTATTACAAACAAGTTTAACATTTTTGTAAAAAAATAAGTTTTGTGTGTAGCAAGAATTAAATAAAAACAAATGAAGACATTTTATAAAGTTTCTGATTCTTTAAAATAATTTACTATTCAAATGATGCTGATTAAACACAGTTTAGTCTGCCACAAGGTCATAAGTATGACGTTCTCCAGCGAAGCACGATTGGCAAAGCTTACGTTGGTCTGGCACAAGACTACAAATCTGGGTCACCTAGTAAACTCACTGAAACAGTAAAGGTCTAGCTTGCTAGCTATTAGTACAAAGCAAGACACCCAATTTCTCCATTATGATAAGTTGAACTCATTCGTCTCTCGTCTTCGTTGTTCAGTCAACCAAACATTCTTTTGTATATCTCTACCAAACGTTACTACTTTTTTTTTTTCGTTTTTCTCTCTGAACTTTTCATTCAAAACAAATCTACCAGCTGTTCGTATCTGTTGTCGTCCCTGAACATCAATAAACTCATGGCTGTTTCTCACGCAATAAATAATCATTTGAGCCTGAAGAAGATTTTCGGCGAATTTGTGAAGCAAGCCGACAAAGTTGTCGTTCAAGATGAACTTCAATTTGAACGCCTTCGTTAAGATAGATTTATTTAAATGGGGTAAGTATCAGCTAGTCATTGAAAAACAAGATCTTACGGTAACATGACAAAAGTAAACAAGCATTGCAGTCGACCTGAATAAAAAAAAAAACTTTATTCCGGATACACGTATTTAAAATTCGAACAACAGATAGGCCTGAATAAAAAAAAAAAAAAGATAAATCGAAAAGAAGCTCATCAAAATGAGAATAAGTTGCAAAACCATTTTTTACAATCATATTCACCCTGTATAAGGCCCAAGAGCCACGCGAGGTGTTACAGAGTAAGATTGATTGATTCGTTTTCTCCGGCTTATCAGCACTTTGCAGGTTATTTAAAGCCGGAAAATATTTTTAGATTGTAAGATTTTTTTTTTTTTTTTTTTAGATAATCATTATTTATTTATTTGTACTATTTCCATCGTTCGGATTGTTGTCCTCATCTTTATTTCCATGTTCACGACGTTTCGGTCGTTGTACACTCCGGCCTTCTTCAGTTGATATACGTTGGAATTTCGAATCGAAGTCTTTACTGAGTCCACGGTGGTAGTTTCTTTTTTAATTCCACGTTTCATGTCTTTTCTGGATACCTCAGTTCCTGTTATTTCCCTTTAATAACTCAACTCTCCAAGTTTGTTTCCCCCCTCTGCTGTGACCAGGTATTGAGCTCACAACTTTTCAATGACACATGGACCAATGGATAAAAGCAGTGGTTGAGTAATCAGAAAAGTGACTTGACCCAAAGGGGAGAAGAGGTGGATTCATGCCTTTCGCAAGGGTATTTACACTTAGGTGAATATAACGAACCCAACTGGAATTGGAACTCAGCTCTCCAATTAAAAATTCCGAGCCATTATCTATTATACTATCAGCACATCCAAGATTACAGCAACTGGTATTCTCAAGCAGTCACTCATCTAGGTGCTGATCAGGCTCCACGTTGCTTAACTTTGGTGATCGTACGGGAAGCGGTGTTTCAACATGATATGGCTGTAAACCTTTGCCGAATAAAAGACACTGTTTATAGGGATGTGTGAGGAAGAGAACGGTTGATCCTAGACGAATAGGTCAAGGATGTAGTTGTCAAGAAAGCATCCTCTTGGGAGTCGGTTCCACAAAGCAGTAGTTATATGTCACCAATGAAATACGCGGGGGAGTAGTTCGATACGATGTGCGTGGCATGGGGAGATCCATTTAAGCAAGGGTTAATACGAAGAAGAATTGGTGGGACTAGGGAAGGTAGTTTGTCTGAACACTTTCCAGGGAAATAGCAATAAAGCAGCAAGAGGCTTGCGACGTTTCGCCTGCAGGGAAAGGGGCTGTAGGGTGGAAGATAAGTCACCACCCACACTGAAAATTAGGTAAAGATACACACACTGAAAGTAATCTTGAGCTAAAATTTAATTATCAGTGCAATTATTTGATCTCGAAAGAATAGAATTTCTTCTTACCATAAACGTTTTTTTTTCTTTCTTTTTTTCTTTCATGGGTTCGAGTGTTTGAGTTGGCCTCGCTGTTTTCTTTAAACAGTGAAATTAATGTCGACTAGTTGAGAGATCGAGACCTTTACAAGTCTATATTTGCTAACTTTATTTTCTAACTCGGAACGCTAACAATTTCTGATGCTAAATTACATAATACAGAGTTAAAATACATTAACATAAGTTCATCCCCCCCTCTCTCTCTCTCTCTGTCCCTGTGTCTCTCTCTCTCTCTCGCTCTCGCTCTCTCTATATATATATGCATATATATGTGTGTGTGTGTGTGTGTGTGTGTGCATGCGCGTGTGTGTATGTGTGTGTGTGTAAATTATTTTTAGATAGAATGTATCTGTAAAGGAATAAATGAATAAAAAGACAAGAGGAAAACCTATTCGTAGCCAACGCGTTTCGTCCTCTGAGGGACTTTATCATGCCAAATGTAGTATTTATCTTGCTGCACGTGATTATATACAAAAGTAAGTGTGCCATTGTTTTATCAAGGCTTTTAAATATGAGAACTTTCACGAATATTGATCAGGTTGTTGAAAGGTCAATCAAAGCATGTGGAGGACAGGAAGTGCCATAATTCAAAGTCTTCTAAAAGAGTAATGTTCAAGAAATACCTTTTTTTTTTTTTGTGAATGAATATTGTTTGAATTTTTAATATATGCCGTACATCTTCAAACAAATGAGGTAATGGATTTAAGCATTTTCTTTGGATTTTTCAATATTTTTGTGGTCGAGTAAGTTGGCTTGTGAAAGTAAGAATTCTTTCAGAGATTCGAAAAAAAAAACCGGGGCGCAGTTTTATATTTTGATAAGATTCGATAGCGACACTCTTGAGAATTTTCCTTCTGGGTAAATTACTTTCACTTTTGCTAATTGTGGTGGTCTTTAGATCAAAATTGTGAAATTGTTCAAAACTAGTCATACGCAAGAAATAAATTCAACTACAATATCAGCCTAAAGAATATTCATTAACCTTCTCAAATTAAAAAAAAAGAAAACTTGATAAACCAATGACAGTCTTGCTCTTGTATATAAACAAAATAAATCCTACATTTGTCTTGATAACTCTTTCAGAGGACATAACGCGTCGGCTAAGAATAGTTTTTCCTCTTGTCTGTTTATATATATATATATATATATATATATATATATATATATATACAAACCAATCCAAATGTAAAAGAACGAAAAGAATAACTTAAATAATATTTATAATAATTTAAATTCAAACGTTCATAACATTAAGAGTAGAGAAATAAATATTTATTATAAACATTTACATTGGAACATGCAAGTTACCACGACAAAAATATTTCGGTGTCCAACGACATCTAGTCAGGCGGCTAACAATGGTGGTAATAAATGATGTTATTTAAAAATACAGTTTATGAGACATCACTTCTTTTTACATTTTTTTTAATTTTCCATAGAAGTTAAAGAAACAATTCTTATTTTCTTTCCTTTTTTTTTTATTTTTTTTACATTGATTTGCTTTATTCTCGCGTTTCTTTTTATGGAATGAATAATTTATATATATATATTTGTTTCTTTGCCTTCTATGGAAAATTTAACACCCCTTCTATTCTATCTGGTTTTTTTTTTTTTGTTGTTGTTTTTTTTTGTTTTTTGTTTTTTACTTAAGATGGGGTCTACAGTAGGTAAAATTGTTATCATTTTTTAATGCTGCTTTGTTATTATTTTAAAGTCGGTTATTTGCTTGTTTTTGGCGATTGCGCTTATGTAAATGGTAGAAACTCCAATTTATAATACTTATTGATATTTATACGGTGATATTAATTCATCTGAGGGGAGTGAAGTATAATTGTGGACTAATGCTGCAAATGGTAATTGTGGTGATGAAATAGTGGGAATGGAATAGTTGGGATAAATGGTAAGAAAGATGATAATTACAGTATTAGATAAATTAATAGTAAGACTGAAATAATAATTGTGAACGCGTGTGTATACGTATATATATATATATATATATATATGTGTGTGTGTGTGTGTGTGTGTGTGTGTGTGTGTGTGTGTGAGAAAACATTATTCCGCGAACAAAATAGACGAACGATCTGTGGGTTGACACTGCTACTTGGAAAGAAGTACGCTACACAATCCAACATTAAATACAGCGACCAATTGCGTACATATGCACGCAACGACGCATGGATGCGCATATGCGCGTAGTCCCACATTGTTCATCTGAGATGGAACAAATACATTGAGTCAATTGCTTCGTCCACCGCAAGGAAAGTTGGCTCCATGAGGCGCACCAGGAAATTTTTCTCACCGGAATCAATCCTTCAGATCTACAAATCAACAATTCGCCCTTGCATGGAGTATTACTGCCATATATGGTCTGGAGCCCCCTCTGTTTGCCTCGGGGTTCTTGATTAGCTCCAGAGGCGGATATGCAATATAATTGGCCCTGATCTGGCATCTCGTCTACAGACACTTTCTCACAGATGCGCCGTTGTCTCTCTCTGTCTTTTTTACAAATACTTTCATGGCAATTGCTCTGAGGAGCTGCATTCGCTGGTTCCCAGACTTCATGAATTCAAGCGTCCTACGAGGCTGGCATCCCGTTCTCCCCCTTTCACTGTTGAAACTGTTAAATGTAGCCGTCTCTTCTACTCCAATAGCTTCATATCTCGCACCTCTCGCCTGTGGAACTCCCTTCCCTATTCCAGTTTCCCTGAGAACTATAATCTCCAACTATTCAAATGTAATGTCAATCGACATCTCCAGTTGCCTTGATCTATCCACTAACCTTCTCCTCATCCTTTCCTCTATCACTCCTATCTGATCTTGCTGCAAATCTTCTGTAACCCCTTGCTTCCCGCCTTGCTTGGGGTGAAACGCTTAAAAAAGTTTATGTTTGTGCGAGCTGCAATGCTTGAACGTGCGTGTATGTATGTCTGCGTACGTATGAGTGGCGTTCCGACAGCAATTTTCCCTGTGCGTGCCTCTAAGTTAAATGTACACTTATACCACAAAATCGTAAATGTCTCCAGTGGTGTAACGAGAGGATAACATGGCGAATTCAAATGGAGCTCTCCTGTGTTCTGTGATGAGAAAGTGTTCGGCATTCATGCAAGTGATAGTCGTCTGCATATGCAACGTAGACGTTAAAAGTATGGTATTAAAAGAAAAACCTGTCTAGTGTCTAAAGCAGGGTTTTCAAACTGTGGGCAACGACCTTTCAGTGGGTCGCCAGATAAATAAAATGGGTCGCGATAAAAAAGAAAAAAAAACGTTAAATGCAGAATATAAACATCTCTAAATATTGCACAGCACTCATAAATCCTCGCTAGTTTTTCACCGAGGTTAACTCGTATTTTATCTTTTAAATATATATATATATATATATATATAGTCTGTCCTCTTTGAGTTTATGTATCTTTTTCGTCAAACTTGTTTCGTTTGAGTGACGTCAGTTCTCTCTCCTAAATACACCTCGCGACAAAAACTTACCTACGGAGATGAGCAATGTGTTCGTCTTTGTAACCGGTGAAAGCCATTGAGATTGACAGGGCTGAAACTGAATTTCCCGACTCAATGTCGAAGTCGAGTTGGTACATTCTTTCTGTGGTAGTGAAATGATGTGTTCTGTTTGCGTCGGAATTTCCTTTAAATTTGTTTTTCTAAAACTAAATATTTTATATTCACTCAAATTGATAATACAAATAGATACATGCAATTCCAATATGTGCAGATCATAAAAAATATACTTATAAATTGTCCAGTCTCTCTGATTTATGACACGTAAGTATAATGGGTCGCAATATAAAATTTAGTTCTTGCTGTGGGTCGCAGTAACAAAAAAATTGAAAAATGCTGCAAAGCATATTTCCTGTATAGGCCAAAGTATCGTATTTGGGCCTAGATTAAAACTGGATTCTGATTTTCAAAGGATGCAGGCCTGACCAATGGGGGAGTTTGGTGGAAATTATTCTCTTTGTTTTTATCATTTGGTTTTCTTTCATACTCAGTTTATAGTAAGTATTAAGATTCATTTCAATATTTGACTGGTAGCCAATCATTTCCTAAACTGATAATGAGGACGACAGAAAAAAAATGTATACACACTTCAGGAAAAAGGAAAATCTTGTTTTTTCATCGTCTATTTTCTACAATGTTCTACTGATCTAACATCTGCAGATTTTTATCTATGGAGGACCCTAATCGCAGAAAAACCGACTATACTGGCGGCAAGAAATTGAAAATGCATATGCAGCAATCCCACTGGACATTTGGCTAACGTTGCCCAAGCAGTAGTTCGCCATACTAATAAATATCTGGAAGCTGCATCTCTCGCGATTGTAGAGTCCAAAGGTAACTTATATTAATCTCGTTTTATCTAAATAAATTTGGTATTACAATATCTATACAAGTTTTTTCTCCTTTCCTGGAGTATCTATACGTTTTTGGCGGACTATGTATTTGATGGAAAATAATCTTTCTGCATTTTTTTTCTCAGAATTGTATAATTGTCTGAGATGCGG